AAATTCTCTGGCACTCAGTAACAATTCTGTCTGTCCCTGAGTAAACAATTCTCTGGTAGTGCTGCCTCAAGTAACAATTCTGTCTGTCTGTGCGAGTAACAATTCAATTCTGTGTCTGTGCAAGTAGTAACAATTTGTTGTGTCTGTGCTGAGTAACAATTCTCTGGCACTCAGTAACAATTCTGTCTCTGTCCCTGAGTAACAATTCTCTGGCACTCAGTAACAATTCTGTCTGTCCCTGAGTAACAATTCTCTGGCACTCAGTAACAATTCTGTCTGTCCCTGAGTATAAATTCTGTGGCAACTGAGTAACAATTCTGTGTCTGTGCCTGAGAGTAACAATTCTGTGTCTGTGCAAGTAAACAATTTTGTGTCTGTGCGAGTAACAATTCTCTGGCACTCAGTAACAATTCTGTCTGTCCCTGAGTAACAATTCTCTGGCACTCAGTAACAATTCTGTCTGTCCATGAGTAACAATTCTCTGGCACTCAGTAACAATTCTGTCTGTCTGAGTATGAATTCTCTGGGCCTGAGTAACACAATTCTGTGTCTGTGTGAGTAACAATTCTGTGTCTGTGCAAGTAACAATTTTGTGTCTGTGCGAGTAACAATTCTCTGGCACTCAGTAACAATTCTGTCTGTCCTGAGTAACAATTCTCTGGCACTCAGTAACAATTCTGTCTGTCCCTGAGTGGCACTCTGAGTAAACAATTCTCTGGCACTCAGTAACAATTCTGTCTGTCCCTGTGAGTAACAATTCTCTGGCACTCAGTAACAATTCTGTCTCTGTCCCTGAGTAACATTTCTCTGGCACTCAGTAACAATTCTGTCTGTCCCTGAGTATGAATTCTGTGGCCCTGAGTAACATTCTCTGTGTCTGTGCGAGTAACAATTCTGTGTCTGTGCAAGTAACAATTTTTGTGTCTGTGCCCTGAGTAACAATTCTCTGGCACTCAGTAAACAATTCTGTCTGTCCCTGAGTAACAATTCTCTGGCACTCAGTAACAATTCTGTCTGTCCCTGAGTAACAATTCTCTCTGGCACTCAGTAACAATTCTGTCTGTCCCTGAGTATGAATTCTGTGGCCCTGAGTAACAATTCTGTGTGTGTCTGTCGAGAGTAACAATTCTGTGTCTGTGCAAGTAGTAAACAATTTTGTGTCTGTGCGAGTAACAATTCTCTGGCACTCAGTAACAATTTTCTGTCTGTCCTGAGTAACAATTCTCTGGCACTCAGTAACAATTCTTCTGTCTGTCCCTGAGTAACAATTCTCTGGCACTCAGTAACAATTTCTGTCTGTCCCTGAGTATGAATTCTCTGTGGCCCTGAGTAACAATTCTGTGTCCCTGCGAGTAACAATTCTGTGTCTGTGCCTGAGTAACAATTTGTGTGTCTGTGAGTAACAATTCTCTGGCACTCAGTAACAATTCTGTCTGTCCCTGAGTAACAATTCTCTGGCACTCAGTAACAATTCTGTCTGTCCCTGAGTAACAATTTCTCTGGCACTCAGTAACAATTCTGTCTGTCCCTGAGTAACAATTCTCTGGCACTCTCAGTAACAATTCTGTCTGTCCCTGAGTAACAAATTATTCTCTGGCACTCAGTAACAATTCTGTCTGTCCCTGAGTAACAATTCTGTCTGTCCCTGAGAATGAATTCTGTGGCCCTAAGTAAGAATTCTCTGGCACTCAGTAACAATTCTGTCTGTCCCTGAGTAACAATTCTCTGGCACTCAGTAACAATTCTGTCTGTCCCTGAGTAAAAATTCTGTGGCCCTAATAACGTTTCTGTGGCCCTAAGTAACAATTCTCTGGCACTGAGTAACAATTCTGTCTGTCCCTGAGTATGAATTCTGTGGCCCTAACTAGCGTTTCTTTGTCCCTAAAATAACGATTCTGTGGCCCTCATTAACAAGTCTGTGTCCCTGAGTAATGGTTCTCTGTCCCTAAGTAACTTCTCTCTGTCCCCAATTCTCGTTTCTGTGGCCCCTAACTCTGTCCCTGTCCCTAGTACAGAGCGGTCTGCCTCTGTTCAATGACTGCAGGCAAATGAAGATTTCCAAAATGGCCGCTAGACTTTATATATACCTCGACCATTACACAGTGCTGGCTGGCTGGCTGCTGATTGGCTGATGCGATCACATGTCGTTGAGGAATGCATTATGGTGGCAGCGCGCCTTGTTCTGCGCGCCTTCCCCGGACATCCCCGCTCCGTCGCCGCACATGTCAGCCGCCATTTTCGGAAAAATTTCGATTCGCGCGTCCGAATTAGGCGTGTTTTTCGGTTTCGGCCCCTATTAATCGAAATTTTTCCGATATTCGACGCACGAATTCCACTTCGGATTTTCGATTCGCTCATCTCGTAGCTTAGTATCAACAATGAAAGAAAAAGAAAATAGACACATTCTGTATCCTCCACCACTGGTAGATCCTATAATATTCAGATATTTTATATCGTGCAATAGTCGATTCGTAGTTTATATGCTTGAATGTCCTTTGGGGAAACAGTTATAGGACGCACGACAAAAAGGCTTAGAGACAGATTACTGCCGTAAACATGTGTATAATATTAAAAGAGGTTTTAGACAACACTCCCTCTCGAAACATTACAGAAAAATACTTGGAATAAAGATCCCTCCACGCTGAAATTTGTGGGGAGGGCAGTCAGGTTGAGTTGAGTTCGGTGGGTTTCAAGACCCATTGGAGAGGCACACATAAACGGAGAGCAGTTTCTCAACTAGAAAACTAAATAGATTTTTTGAGATGGGTACGTTTCTTCCAGGGCATGGAACAATGTGTGGATATCGACCATAAATATTTTGTTTTATCCATAATTGCTTTAAGTAGATAGTCCATTATTGTAGCCACTTGATTACATCTTTATTTTACATATTTATTTATTGGTTATATGTCCTCACTCTTCTCCATTTATTTCCTTATTATATGAATTGATCTTACCTATTCTATTCTGTTTTACTCATTTTATTCATTTTTGACGTTTTCCTTTTGATTCACATCTTTTATTTACACACATTTAATTTGATCATTATGTCCCTTGTCCCCTCATATTTAATTTATACAGAGATTTTTTTTACAGCTACACATTGATCTTACCTATTATATTCTATCATATTAATAATTTTTGTATTTTTCACTATGATTTTTTTTTTATCCTTCATCTATTTTTATTATATTTTAGACTCCTTTTTTCGGATACATTTGCATACATTTTTTCAATTTTTGTATCATCTGATTCTATAATTTTATATATATTTTATATATATATTTTCTATTAATACTTGTTTATCTGTATTTTATATTTTTTATGGCTTGTATCTGTTATTCTTTTATGCGTGTTCAGGCCCCACACTTTTTTTTTTTTAAATTTAAATATTTATTCATTTTCCATTTAAAATACATATTTCATTCATTACTCTCATATAAACATACAAAACCGCTTCAGTGGTATCCAAACCATTAATTATATCCCTTTCTATCTTTATTCCCATTACCCCCCCCACCTTTCTAACACCCCCACCCACCCTGAAGAACCTCCCCCCCCCCGCCACACAAGCAAAATCACCCACTCTGCATTTCTCTATAACATCTTTTCCTAAGTAAGGTATTAGACTTTCACATATCCCACTCTACTACTTCATATATTTCTAAACCATGGGACACAAAATCTTCCCATTTTCCCCACCTCCTGAAATATAACTCCCATCTTGTCTTTTTGCATATAAATACAGTTTCTCCATCCTACCATACCTGGTTCACTCTTTCCACCCAATCCTCTTTTCTCGACACTTCTGAGCTATTTATATATGTAAAAGTGTTATAAACAAAACTTTAAATAAAAACTGTGAAGGTCCATCAATGTCAGGGCTCCCAGGGTGATGACCAGAGGTGTGTGGCTGACGCAGGGAAACGCACAGACCTCAGATATGTTATAAACAATATAACTTTATAACACTAACACAATACAAACATAAACGCAGTGCAATACTAAACATAATACAGTTGCAACCAGAAACCAAACCAACCACACCACGACAGATAACCGTACATACAAGCAAAGCGTCGTCAGGCAGGCCAGGTCAATATCAATAGGGCAGGTAGGTACAGGGGGAGCAAAAAGCGGGAGATTGGTCGGGGTCACAGGCCAGGTTCAGCAGGTAGCAAGCAGCGTAGTACAGAGGGTCAGGCAGAAGGATGGTCAGGGGGGTCACAAGCCAGGGATCAGAGCAGGAGAAGTCAGCAGCGGGCTTTTCAGAAACAGGATGCAGGACAGAAACAGGATACAGGGCCCAGGACAAAACACAACACCAAGGCAGAGTCTGTGGGTCTGGCCATCCTTAAATACCCCAGCATAATCAGGTTCCATTGGTGTTAGCTGGCTGCAAAGTTGAGTCTCTGATTGCTGGGAGCATCCGCTGGCCAAGCCCTGGTACTGCAGATCAAAAGGCAGGTGAGTCCCACCATTGCTGGCCTGTCCCATTCCCTGACAGTACCCCCCCTCAAGGAGCGGGCCTCAGGACGCTCCAAACAGTCCTAGCTGGGAAAAATGTTCCACCGCCCGGGTCTGGTAACTGGCGGGATATCAAAAAGACTGGCACACCGGGCAGGACTCCGGGCAGTGGTACACCGGGCAGAGGCACACCGGGCTGGACTCCGGGCAGAGGCACACGGGCTGGACTCCGGGCAGAGGCACACCGGGCTGGACTCGGGCAGAGGCACACCGGGCTGGACTCCGGGGGCAGAGGCACACCGGGCTGGGACTCCGGGCAGAGGCACACCGGGCTGGACTCGGGGCAGAGGCACACCGGGCTGGGACTCCGGGGCAGAGGCACACCGGGCTGGACTCCGGGGGCAGAGGCACACCGGGCTGGACTCCGGGGCAGGGGCACACAGAGGCACTCCGGGCAGAGGGACTCCGGGGGCAGAGGCACACCGGGCTGGGACTCCGGGGCAGAGGCACACGGGCTGGACTCCGGGGCAGAGGCACACCGGGCTGGACTCCGGGCAGATGGCACACCGGGCTGGACTCCGGGGCAGAGGCACACCGGGCTGGCTCCGGGCAGAGGCACATCGGGTTGGACCTTTCCGGGCAGAGGACACATCGGGCAGGACTCCGGGCAGAGGCACATCGGGGCAGGACTCTGGGCAGAGGCATGACACATCGGGGCTACCAGGCGAAGCAGCAAGCAGCGGGCCACCAGGCAGAGCTGCAGGCACGGGCCCCCGGGCGGGGGCGGCAGGAGCACCGGGCCCCCGGGGCGGGGGCGACAGGCATCGGGCCCCCAGGCAGGGCGACAGGCTATCGGGCCCCCAGGTGGGGCGACAGGCATCGGGCCCCCAGGCAGAGCGGCGGGTGCCGGACCCCCAGGCGGAGCTACAGGTCTCGGGCCCTCAGGCGGAGCGGCGGGCGCCGGACCCCCAGATGGAGCGACAGGTCTCGGGCCCTCAGGCGGAGCGGCGGGCGCCGGACCCCCAGATGGAGCGACAGGTCTCGGGCCCTCAGCGGCGGCGGAGCAAACAGGTCTCAGGCCCCCAGACGAAGCGGCGGGCACCGAGTCACCAGGCACGAACAGTGGGCACCGAGTCGTCTGGCAAGACTGCGGGCACCGAGTCAACTGGCGGAACAGCGGGCATCGAGTCAACTGGCGGAACTGCGGGCACCGAGTCGTCTGGCAAGACTGCGGGCACCGAGTCGTCTGGCAAGACTGTGGGCACCGAGTCGTCTGGCAAGACTGCGGGCACCGAGTCGTCTGGCAAGACTGCGGGCACCGAGCCAACTGGCGGAACAGCAGGCTTCACGAGTCGTCTGGCAAGACTGCGGGCAACCGAGTCGTCGTCTGGCAAGACTGCGGGCACCGAGTCGTCTGGCGGAACAGCGGGGCATCGAGTCAACTGGCAAGACTGCGGGCACCCGAGTCGTCTGGCAAGACTGCGGGCACCGAGTCGACTGGCGGAACAGCGGGCACCGAGTCGTCTGGCAAGACTGCGGGGCACCGAGCCAACTGGCGGAACAGCAGGCTTCGAGTCGTCTGGCAAGACTGCGGGCACCGAGTCATCTGGCAAGACTGCGGGCACCGACCGAGTCGTCTGGCAAGACATGCGGGCACCGAGTCGTCTGGCAAGACTGCGGGCACCGAGTCGTCTGGCAAGACTGCGGGCACCGAGCCAACTGGCGGAACAGCAGGCTTCGAGTCGTCTGGCAAGACTGCGGGCACCGAGTCGTCTGGCGGAACAGCGGGCACCGAGTCAACAGGCACGACAGTGGGCACCGGGTCATCAGGTATCGGATGGTCTGGCTCGACAGCGGGCCATCGGGTCACCAGGTATGACAGCGGCACTGGGTCACCAGGCACCAGGTCATTTGGCTTGCCAGCGGGCACCAGCGTCATCTGGCAAGGCATAGGTGGGCACCGGGTCACCAGGTATGACAGCGGGCTCTGAGTCAATTGGCACGACAGCGAGGGGCACTGGATCAGGTACCGGATCATCTGGATCAACAGCGGGCATCGAGTCAACTGGCCTACTAATAGGATCGTCGGGCTGGATCAGTTCATCATGCTGAGTAGCGGCATCAGGCTGAGTAGAGGCTTCAGGCTGAGTTAGGCTTCAGGCTGAGTAGAGGCTTCAGGCTGAGTAGAGGCTTCAGGCTGAAGAGAGGCATTCAGGCTGAAGAGAGGCATCAGGCTGAAGTAGAGGCATCCGGCTGAAGAGAGGGCATCCGGGCTGAAGAGAGGCATCCGGCTGAAGAGAGGCTTCAGGCCTGAGTAGAGGCTTCAGGGCTGAGTAGAGGCTTCAGGCTGAGTCACGGAAGGCAGGTTCACCGGTTTGGATACTGGCAGGATGGTATTGGTTGGAAAGTCAATTTTCGCTTTTTTCTGTTCTGGTTTTATAACTACTGGCAGCACTGCAAGTAAACGCAGGTCTGCAAATGAATGGAGCAGCTGGAGACAGAGAAAAACTGGAGGATGGAACAGGAGAGGGAGCAGTTGCTACAGAGGGCTTTTTTTACAGGGTTAAAGGCAGGATAGGTTGCAGCGAGTGGGAACATGGGTACTGGACAATGCTTTGAGGGTAGATATAGCCCAAGTATACTGGGCTGTAACTGGAGGAGCTGGTGGGAATACAGGAGTAGAGTTAGAAGCAGGACTGGGTGCAACAAGTCTGTCCATGTCTGCAGTAGGGGTAACTATTTGAACAAAGCTGAGCTTACACAAAGCCTGTCTGGTCAATGACTGCACTGCGTTTATACAATCTCTTAGTGTCTGTGGTGAACATGTGGAATAATGCTCCAGAAAGTAACCCACATCATCCTCTAATAACCACACCAGGGACTCTACCTGGTCTGCACTAAATGGTGGCAAAAATTCATCCCTGCATTCGGGGGAACCAGATGAAACCCAAACTCAGCACAAACCTCAATCAAAAGCGCTTGCACCTCATGAGAACTCTGTGCCCTGATCTACTAGGACATGAGCGAGAGCCGTATACTTTCATTCTAGTAGTTTGAATCCCTGGGATACTCCTTCAGAGTTTGATAAGCACTACTCCCTGTCATCAAAACGCACTACAGCAGATATAAATACACAACCTCATCCAGATCCATCCTTCCCAGCAACAAGCCAAGATGGCTTCCCTGTGCAGCCACTTCTGGTCAGGATTGGCCTTGGTGTAATGTCAGGGCACCCAGGTGTGAACCAGAGGTGTGTGGCTGACGCAGGGAAACGCAGACCTCAGAATATGTTATAAACAATAAAATTTATTAAACACTAACAATACAAACATAAACGCAGTGCAATACTAAACATAATACAGTGCAACCAAACCAAAACAACAACCACCCACAGATAACCAGTACATACAAGCAAGGCGTCGTCGTCAGGCAGGCCAGGGTCAATATCAAATAGGGCAGGTAGGTACAGGGGGAGCAAAGCGGAAGATTGGTCGGGGGTCCACAGGCCAGGTTCAGCACAAGTAGCAAGCAGCGTAGTACACAGAGGGTCAGGCAGAGGGGATGGTCAGGGTCACAAGCCAGGGATCAGAGCAGGAGAAGTCAGCAGCGGTTCAGAAACAGATGCCAGGACAGAAACAGGATAGTGTTCAGGGCCCAGGACTAAAACACAACACCAAGGCAGAGTCTGTGGGTCTGGCCATCCCTTAAATACCCCAGCCATAATCAGTTCCAGGTGTTAGCTGGCTGCAAAGTTGAGTCTCTGATTGCTGGGAGCATTCCGCTGGCCAGCCCTGGTACTGCAGATCAAAAAGGCAGGTGAGTCCCACCATTGCTGGCCAGTCCATTCCTGACAATCAATCAGTCCTCCATCAAAACAGTTATTAACTCTCTCAACTATCCTATAATATCAAAGTTCAAGATGTTCAGAAATTCTTCTAACGATCTCCATGTGCATGTTACCATCTCAAAAAAAAAGGAAATAATATATAGTGCATTATCCTGTATATAATAAATAAACTTAATTCATCTCCCACAATCCAGTGAAAACAAATAGTGATAATGGTGAAAAAAACGGTGAAATGTGAAAAAAAAGTGAAATAATCAGTGAAAACACTGTGTGTGTGAATCACCTTCAATCCCGCACACAGAAAAGATATAATTGCAAACTGGTGTGCACTTCTATTCATAGTAAGGGTACCCTTACCAACATTTCAGAAAACACACATGCTTATATCAATCAAACAGCTTTCTCAGGATGAATGATCTCCACAATCCTCCCTGGATTGCTGATCCCACTGTTTCCAGACACTTTACTCCATCCAGGGACAAAAAACATAAGGAACACAATTAGTGTAATACCGCCAATAGTAAAATCAAATGACCTTTATTTTTGAACTGCTTACATCAAAACAAGCCTTTATGCACGTAATCACTCATAATAGAAACCTCACAGCCTCACAGCCATCCAGGAAAGAACGTCCAGGTGCTCCAGAATCATTCACTTCCCCTTTTCCAAAATGGGCCGCCAGGTCAACTTCCGGTTCCTGTGTGAGCGTCTTGACGTCCACTTCCCTGCCAAAAATGCCAAAAATAGGTACAGACCCCTTTTGCCGCCTTAAGAATGTACCATATACCCACCCCAATCCTTTGTATTTGTTCACTGATAACTCTGTACTATGTAAATAGACACAACACCCTGGATCCAATCCTATCTTTGTCCCAGAGATTATCCCAATTAAATGAACCATTGTCTCCCAAAAACCTTGAAACTTTGGGGGCACACCCCCCCAACCATATGTAATATAACGTACCTATTTTTTCCACACCCCCACCAACACTCTGGTGTATTCTCCCCATTCACAGCTTGTATTCAATGTTCGGGTGCAATGTGCCATCTTGTTAAACACTTTATAATTTACCTCTACCTCTCTAATGCTTATATTCTCGTGTGTTTAGTCTATAATATTTTCCTTTGTTTGATCTTCATCTATCTCTATTGCCAAATCCCTTTTTCCCATTTTACTATGTACATTGGCTTTGTTGTGTGTGTCTAAAACTCAGGTGAGCAATCTTATTAACACATTACGCCATGCCCCGAAGAGGTTCCAATCTAAAATGTGATTCCCAACAACTATCTTCAAATATGTTTCCTAATCCTTTTCTCAATCTCAAAGGTTTCGGAAAATTCCACCGACAAAGTGTTTAATTAATTGGTGATATCTCAAACTCGTCTAAAAAACCACTTGCCTATCCAGGCACTATATACCCCCTTCAGACCTTACCAGGCCAAATTAAGCTTTCAGGCGCGTGTTGCCGCACTTGTGTTTGGGACAATTGCTTTCCCGGCATCGTCATGCAAACATTGTAAACCCATATGAAAAATGAAATTTTGATCATTTTTTTCCCACATTAATAGAGTCTTTCTTTTGGGTAGGTATTTTATGAGTCACCCGACTGGGCGCTTAACTTTTTTGCGGTCTTAAATAATAAAAAAATTGCAAAAAAATTTGAAAAAAAAAAAAAGTTTATTTGTTTCTTTTAAAAAATTTTTCAAAAGCCCATGTATTTTTCCCTCTCTTACAGATGTGCGTTGATGAGGCAGCACTGTTAGGGCGACTAGATAGGCAGGCATTCACCTAGGGGCAGTCATGATAGGCAGGCGTGGCTGGTAAAGGCACCTGATGGGTCAGTTAATAATGAGGTGGCAAGGAAAGGCGGCACTGATTAGAAAGCAGACTAATCTATGCAGTAGGTGACCTATCAACCCGGATAGGCGGGCACTATTTTTAGACAGCACTAAGTTTAGGGTGGTTCGAAATGCCAATAGGCGGCGAACTGATATGCAGCAACTTATAGGCGGAACTGTCCATGAGGTTAAATGCCATTCTTAAAAAATGGATAAACGCTATATGGACTGGGCTTACTGCTAGGGCACTGTAGAATAAAAGCAAATGA